TCCAGGCGGTCAACATACCATCAACTGCAAAAAGGAACTTAAGGCGGGGCATTCACCACATGAGTCTAAAAGAGGTGGCGACCGAACTTCAAGCTAGCAATGGTCAAGGGACGTGAATCGAAATGGCCAAGTTCAAACATCACTCTAATCGGTCAATTTTTGCTTAGCACGCACTGATAAAGTCACCACGATTGGTAATGAAACGTCTGCAACGAAATAGCTCGGCTCGGAGAACAGACCAAAACCTGGTCAACATACGAGTTCTCACGCTAGCCTTTAATCATTCTTGTGGTCTCTTTGTACCTTCTTTAAGCAAGCGAAATCTTTTCGAAAAGATGCCCAAGCCGGAACACAATACTTTCAGTGCGACCGAAACCCGGCTATGTATACTGGGAGAAAGACTTCAGGTTTAGCATTAGACAATGCTCTCTTGAGGCGAGAAAGTTGTTTCTGGGCTGTTAGCAGCCTACTGGCACAGCACCGAAGGCTAGAAGCTATTCACTATAACGATAGCCAAGTCCATCACCTTATCTATACACTGATGTCGCTTGCTTAGGGAAGGTAAGAATGAGCGAAGGCCAGCTTGATCGAATGGCTTATCAAGGCCTGCTCTTCTTTGAACAACGCAGACTAAGGGGAGATCTCCGTCGAAACGAGACTAGACCTTAACATGGTGCGACGGTTTGCGTACCTCATTGACCCATTGAGCTATACTGGGTGATGCCTTCGGGCACTTTGAGAGCTACTCCTACCAGCTTGGTCAATAGTGAGAGGTCAGACAAACTCAGTCTCCTGGTCCTCCAGGTTGGGGGGTTGAAATGGGATGGCGTCCTTTTCTGAAAACTAAATCATTGCCGCCTCCCCGCTGCCTTGCGGACAGGCTTTTGAGCCAAAGGCTTTGGATGAGGACCCTAATCGTCCTCCTGTGTAGATCTGGGCGCCCTGGCAGTATCTCAGCCCACATATAACCATAAGATTTTCTTCCAACATAAGCTTCATCCTTCATCGGCCCTCGCGCAGATTATCAAGGGTCGCCTTATCTGCTGCATACAACAGGGCAGATAAGCGAAAACATGCTACTGCTGGCACCTCCCTTCTTTCTATTCCACATTCTTCTCGTACTCCCATCCCGACCCCCATTACTAACCTTCCTTCTATAACTCCCAGCTTAATTGACAGCAACCGAAGTGCCACTGGAGTGGAACCATGTGCAGCCACCATCCCACAGCACCTATCGGACGCCTATCGGCAAAAGTCTTTTATAAGGCCATGCTATCCAGTTGCCATGGCGACATTCAACGTTCGCACTCTAAGGCAAACTGGCCAACAGGCTGCACTCGCACACACTGGGTATTGATGTGTGCTTGTGTCCGAAACTAGGATCAATGACCCTAACGGGGTTATTGAAATGACTGCACCCAGCTTATCCTCTCGTTATTGGTTGCACGCATCCGGAGACGCCGATGCAGCACTCACGGGTCAAGCTGGTGTAGGTATCATTCTAAGCTCCAACGCTGTGCCATCGTTGGTTGATTGGATTCCGGTGAACAGCCGTTTATGTGCAGCCCGTTTAACGACATCAGCTAAGGTTGATTCACGAAGTAGTACAAAACGTTGTTTGTGATTACCGCTTATGCTCCCACCGATCGCAGTTCAGATGTTGTCAAGGACACATTCTGTGACGAACTGAACGCGCTACCACGCAGTGCTACTAGTTCAGATTTTATAGTATATGCAGGGGATATGAACACACAAGTATGGCGTCTGAGCTCTTCAGAAGCTCAGCCGGGTGGTAATAATGGGCTGACAACGGTGAGTGCTGCAACTGTGTGCGGAGCACCAGTTGTTTCGTAGTAGCACTGCTTTTAGACACAGTGGGCGCCGAAGTGCCACGTGGTGTCCTCCTGTAGCTGGCCAGCGATGGAACCAAATTGACCACATAGACATAAGTTACAGATGGCGTGGTTCTATCCTGGATTGCCGCTTGTACTGGAGTACCTGTGTCGACTCTGATCATACCTTGGTACGTTGTCGTTTCTTCATGTACTCTACCGGGAGGCGCACCAAGCGTCCCCTACGATTGGTAACGGAGAAATTGTCTGTCCTCGGTCAGGCAAGCTTATCAAGAAGCACTGCATATCGAACTTCCGCTGTCTTATCCTAATGACACTGAGCTTCAGTGGAATAGAATCTCGGCCGCCGTGCACGACGCAGGAGCATCTGCTTGTGGCACTATCCATCGTCACCGCACCAGTCACTAGATATCCGAGAGGTCGGTGAACCTGTTGGAAGCTAGAATACACCTCCGGGCTGACTCTGAACACAATGTGACCAGACGGGCTATTTGGCATGAACTAAAGCAGAGCCTGCGCACTGACAAGGAAGCCTGGTGGACCAGTAGGGCTCAAGAAATGGAGGAGGCAGGAGCAGTAGGCAATTACCGCAAGCTCTTCCAGCTAATCCGCACCATTCGTCCCGGAAAACTAGGCGTCAGTGAGACAATCGGAGACAGCACGGATGTGCTGATACACAATAAGGAGCGCCGCATGGCTCGTTGGGCGGAACACTTTGAAGATCAGTTCAGCTGGCCCCCTGCTCCCGGACCTCTTCCTACTCAGGTGATGCAAGACGAGCCATGGACGGTTAGTTTAGAGCCTCCGTTGGAGGCGGAGGTCCGAAACGCGATCACAGCCCTTAATCGTTTTCGTGCCGCTGACTCGGATTCCCTCCCACCTGCACTATTTAAGGATGGAGGTGAGGTCCTCTGCAAAGCGCTGACCTTTCTATTCGAACGTATCTGGAACTGTCCCGGCTAATTGGAGCGAATCGATTATAGTGGCAATATACAAGAAGGGCAGTCGCACAGACTGTTCTAACCACAGGGGTATTAGTCTAACGCCAGTGGTGACAGAATTACTGGCCTCGATTCTCGTTCGTCGACTCACTGTGGAACCGTGATCTCGGATTAGGGAAGATTAGGCAAATTTCCCGGCAGGACGTGGCTCCATAGACCATATATTCACTTTGCGGCAGGTGCTAGAGCAGCGCCACGCACACCGCAGATCGACAATATCTGTGTTCCTCGATTTAAAGGGTGCCTTCGATTCAGTCGATCGATCGATCCTGTTCGAAATACTTGCGCGGAAAGGTGTTCCCACGAAATATGTGAACATTCTTCGTGCTCTATACTCGAGCACTACAGACCGCGTCAGGGTCTACGGTATCCTATCGGATAACTTTCCGACCACAAGTGGCGTTCGTCAGGGTTGTCCGATTTCCCCATTTTTGTTCAATTTCGTCGTGGATTCTATCATGGAGTGTTTCCTTGCGGAATATCACGATGTAGGCGTTGAAGTGATGTCTGGTAAAAGGTTAGTTGATCTAGATTATGCGGACGATATCGTCTTGCTTTTCGACGACGTTGGGCCGGCCCAATCAACCCCGAATAGCCTCTTTAAAGTGGTCCCATTGTTTGGTATGCACTTCGCACCTTCAAAGTGCAAAGTTATGTTGCAGGACCACCAGCCACTTGATGACCCCTTGATGCTAGCTAACGAGGAACTCGAGGTACTTGATTACTTCACTTATCTTGGCAGCTGCATCAGCAATGATGGGCGCATCGAAACTGACGTCAGCTCACGCAATACAAAAGCCAGAGTTATGTTCTTGAACCTGCGGCATCTTTGGCGACAGAAGAGAGTTTCCCTCCGTCTGAAAGGCCGGGTGTACAAGGCCACAGTGAGGGCCGCTCTGCTCTATGGTAGTGAGACCTGGCCCCTTCGGTCTCAAGATCTGAGGCGCCTTCAAGTCTTTGATCATCGTTGGATGGCACCAGCTTGTCCGCAACGATGATGTGCGTAGGCGAGTACTAGGTGGTGATAATCATGCTAGCTCCCTAGAACAACAGATAGCACTGAATAAGTTGCGTTGGCTCGGGCACGTGCTACGTATGTCTGGTCACCGTTTACCTAGGAGGGTCTTGTTTAGTCTGGCAGGTGTAGGGTGGCGCAAGGCTCGAGGTGGACAGATGACTGGGCAGCGGGAAATGAAGTCACTGACGACCAAACTGAGTGCCGTTGGTCCGTCTCGCTTTCCGGGCTGGAGTCCACGTGACTCGCCTTGTGCTTGGCCCGAGACTTTACAGGACATGGCTCGCAGTAGACACCAGTGGCGCGTCTGCTTCCGTCTCCTAATCGGATTGTCTGTTTAAAGTTTGTTTGGTGCTGAGTTATCTGCGGGGTAATGGCTGATTATGACGCGTGGCAGTGAAAGCCGCAAGGAAGCCGTCTCGCCGATGCCGCCTTATCTTTGCCCGATAGCCAGCTGTTTGTGACGGTATGTTGTTTACATAAGGTGTGGGCGTCTTGACCCTGAATGTTTGCTTAGGGATTAAGGTTTTCAGGTAAGTCCCCCTTCTCCTCCTCTTATTCCTTATTTCATACGTCCTCATGGTTGTATGGCAGCGAAGCACCAGTCCAAATGGCTGATGTACTGCTGTTGATGATGATGATGCTGATGAATGGGAGACCTGACAAAAAAGTTTAAGACTATAAAGGGCCTTATACCGACCTCTTTGAACAGCTACGTCAGTCACCTGCAGAAACACCATCTGAAGTTCATGAAGCAGAGGACCAAACTGCATACCCGTGCGAGATTTTTCACCAACTACGCAGTACGGGTGTGGAATTTACTTTTCCCAACGCCTTTAAAAGAGGCGAAGATATGAATTGGCAAACATTGCTTCCGGAACTGCAATGACATTAGTGAAGTCCTAACAAATAACTAGTAGGCGATATGATATCACTGAGTTTTGTGAAGTCATGGGTGACTGCTCGTGCGCTTTTTGGTCTTCGCAGAGTAGATGTCTGAACATCGAAAGGCCGAAAGCTCTGCATTGCTTAGTGGCACACGGAAAAAGGACGTGACCTAAGTTATTATGACCAAACAGCACAATTACATCCAGACATTAAACAGTTCATGACAACCGAGCGTCAGCTTACCTGGAGCTGACCGTTCACATGGATCAAGAGGGCACTGTCGACCGGCTGTGTGTCAACGTTCGTAATAGCGACTTTCAGTGTGTTGCATTGGATACTCTACAAGTCGCGAAACAAAGCACCGAACTTACCTGGAACTTCTGTGCAATATTCGGCTTCCCAATTACTTCTGCGCCCTCATACGTCATACGGGCATTTTCCTATTTTTAGAAGGAAATGAATATATTAACAAGGACAAACATGATAAAACTCTGCAGTTGAAGCTCTCGAAGTCTGTAGAACTGAATAGAACTCCTGGGCGAATCTCTCCCCGATTTCATTGTAGTTTATCTGGTTCATGTTCACGGCGACACCAGAGAAGGGACCGTGCGGAAAATCCGACCCCGACCGATCGCTCGAGAGAATGCGGGCAGAAAGAGGTCGTTTTATGGGTGAATGGTAAATAAAAATCCCTACCGAAGTGTCTGGTCTCGCATATATTATAAGGTAAAAGTAATTGGTACCTGCGAATAGCGGTAAATTGAAATTTTTGAGCGTGCTGTCTTTTTGAGGTTTTACTTTCAAAGGACAGTTGCGGAACAGTGTTTACAAGTGCCGTGCAAAAAGTTTGACTTTTGTCAAATTTCGCTTGATCCAAAGAATTTTGGAGCGTCATTTTTGCCCGGATTACGTCGTACCCGTTTTCGGGTGCTTACCAACGTCGTCCATCTTTTTCGGGTTCAGCCTCTGGCTATTTTTTCGGTATTTTTGTGTTTTGTACTCCGTTTTGCACCTTGTTTAACCCATAATGGTTTCTGTTGACTGCCCTGCAAGTAACAGCTTGTCGGTTTTACGTTTTGATACTTGTTTCACACTCTTTGTAAGCGTCATGTCGGATTCACTGAATAACAACGCTAATGTATCTTCGGCTGCATTGATCAGCGAATCTAATGCTGTATGTGGCAGCGGGAGCTGCTCAAAGCCCGTGACGGACGAGTCTGGTGGCATGCAGTGTTATGTATGCAACTGCTGGTACCATGAGACCTGCACCGATTTGAGCCCGGATCAGTACGCAATGCTTTCGACAAGCGATGGCACGCTGTTCAGTTGTCTTCTATGCCGTCGCCGTCGATCTACGCCACTTGAGGTCACTGAGGAGACATCGAGCAACATAGGGCTGGGTAACCAGCAGTTGTGGTCTTTCCTCATATCTCTTGATCGGAAAGTGGAGTTACTGATGAAAAATATGGGAGTCTCTATTGATGTCGGCTCATTGAAGGAAGACACGCAACTAACCTCTTTTACTGTCGATGGAAATCCGACTGAGGTGATGTCTACCGTGTCGTGTGTCCCAGCGGTCCAGAATGCCTCTAAAGGGGCCTCTGATATCGTGCTGGAAGCCGTCCAAAGCGTGACCGAATTTATTGCCTCTGGGCCCAATAAAAGCAGGAGGAAGAGGGCTAAGAAAGTCCCTAAGGCTGCCTCAAAGCCTGAAGGTATTGAAAGCATTAAGGTATTGGAGGTGGAACACAAAACTCCAACTCCAATCACCCCAGTTCCATTGGCGAAGCAACGCGCCGTGTCAACTTCGGCCATACCCGCGAAGTCTGAAAAGACTAGACCGGTGAGGGAGTTGGAGGCAGAGGATAAAGCCTCAACCTCAATTACTCCAGCTCACTTGGCGAAGAAACGCGCCGTGTCATCTTCCAAACCGGTCGAAAATGAGGTCGCGTCGAAGACTCGTGGAGTGAATACGCCTCGTCGGGGTGATTCTTTTGCTGATAGTAGCGTCATCTTTCGTAACGTTGCTGAAACCTCGGCAGCTCTTCCAAATTAGCGCATGCTGGATGACCTCCAGTGGTTCACGCTCTGCGTCAACAAGATGCTTCCACATGGTTTCCCCGGTGTCACTATCAGGAAATTAACCAGATTGGGGAACGTCCCTGTTGACACTCCGAATCCGTGACCCCGACTACTTCGTGTAGTCCGCTCAACCCCGGAGGAACGCAAAGCGTTAATGCGCTTTGCATTCAAACTCAAGGGTAGTAATGTCAGCGTTCAGCCGGACCTCCCACTGGCAGATCGACTGAAGTTAAAGGAAGCCATCAGAAGCCTCAAAAGCAGGCGGGCGGCTGGTGAGTAAGGCCTTCGTCTTGTGGATTTTCAGGTGGTCAGCCGGAAGTCAAATTCTGCACTATCAGAACCTCTCCTGGTAGCGTACGACCCAGGGCTTGTCGTGCCGAGTTCCTTCGGGTAGTGCTTAGTAATGTGCGTAGCCTAAGGAACATGGTACACGAGGTGGGTCTACTTGTAGAAAAATCTCGTCCCGACATACTTGCTATCACCGAAACGTGGCTGTCCCCGGATATCACAGACAGTGAAGTATGTTTTCCTGGCTACGCACTGCTTAGATGCGATCGCTCCGTTGGCCGCCAAGGTGGGGGCGTCGCTATTTATGTGAGTTGTAAACTCGATGCGTTGAGGACCTGTGTGTTCCAGTCGCCGGATCAAACTGTTGAAGCCCTCTGGGCTATTGTGTGCACATCCTCTGCTCAGTTTATTGTTGTAGTGGTATATCGAAGTCCTGGTAGCATCTTCAGGGAGGTTATTGAATTTATTCGTACTCAGGCTGCCAATAGGTGTCTAATACTGGGTGACTTCAACCTCCCTGAAGTCTGCTGGGCTGATCCATCTTGCAGTTCGGCGGTGGACACTTTCGGTTCGGATCTCTTTGAGCTAACATTGCAACTGCCTTTGCATCAGTTCGTGGACCACCCAACTAGATTTATGAGCAACCAAATTCCGTCTACCTTGGATCTCATTTTTGCGAAGTCACAAGATTTCGTAAGTGATATTACCTACGACTGTTCTCTAGGAGCCAGTGACCATGTCTGCATATCCCTTCGATGTGCTCTAACTAAGTGTTATCAAGCTACCGCTGAGGCATGTCCAAATATTTGGCAGGCAGACTTTAACGCAATACGAGCCAAAGTTTCAGTTTTGCGTTGTGCGATCACCGTGGCTGACACCGTTGAGACAGCCTGGGAGAAATTTAAAGCATACCTCAACGAGATTTCTGCTCTCCACGTCCCATTCACTAAGAGAAGGGTGACACGGGCGCAGCATCCATGGATAGATCATACAGGAAAATACCTGCTCAGGAAGCGCTCTAAGTGCTGGCGAACTTACCAAGCGGCTTCATCAACCAGCACCTACGAAAGCTATCGAGCGGTTAGAAATAGATGTAAGCCTCAGCTTAGAACTCTTCGTCTTTAGGAAGAGGAGGATTTGGCTAACGCAGCCGTGACAAACCCAAAGAAGTTCTTTGCTTACGTAAAGAGACGCAGCGGTACAAACTCGTCCATACCGGCTTTACTACGAACGGACGGGACCCATGGGCATACCGACTATGATAATGCTTGTATACTTAGCGAACAGTATACTGGTGTCTTTTCTCATGAGACCTCTCTACCTCAAGTTGAGCTGGTCACTAAAGTTCCGGAGGATTCTTGCCTAACTGAAATCAGCATAACGGAGACACAAGTCTTCGGGCTATTGCAAGGGCTAAATCCTTCCAAAGCTTCTGGCCCTGATTCAATTCACCCGAAGCTGATGCATGAATTGGCCGCTGAGCTAAGTGGCCCTCTGACATGCGTGTTCACAATATCACTCGACAGCTGTGCCTTACCTTCGGAATGGAAGAAGGCAATCATCTGTCCGATTTTTAAGGGCGGGACAGAGTTCTGCCCGCAAACTACCGGCCTGTCAGCTTAACAAGTGTAGTAGTTAAGTTGTTTGAAAAATTGGTCAGGGATTCGGTGGAGAATCACCTGATTAATTTTAACCTTCTCAGTGCGGCCCAGCACGGATTCCGTAAGGGATTTCCATGTCTGACAAATCTGCTTGTAGCTCGTGAAAGCTGGCCTGATGCAGTAGACAACGGTCACGCCATCGACGTGCTTTTCTTTGACTTCTCGAAAGCCTTTGATACTGTCCCACATCAACGACGCTCATTGAAGTTGAGATCGTATGGGATATCTGGAGCCGCCCTTAAATGGGTTTCTGCTTTCCTAGAGGGCAGAGAACAGTGTGTACGCGTGGGGCGTAGCCTTTCGCTTGGACAAGCTGTTCTTAGTGGCGTTCCGCAAGGCTCGGTTCTAGGGCCGTTGCTTTTCGCAATTTATGTCAATGACCTACCCCAGGAGCTTGAAGTACCGTCGCTATTGTTTGCTGATAACCTCAAGCTCTGAAATATTGTGGATATCCCTGGTGGCTCTGAGGCACTTCAGAGTGCTTTGGATAGGCTCTGGGATTGGTCAACCTTATGGTTGATGCCCGTAAATCAGGCGAAATGTTCTGTCCCTCCGCATTGGAGGTGCTAGTCCCCCCACGCGCTATGTAGTTCGTGGAAGTGAACTCCCTGTTGTCATTCAGCAGGTTGATCTAGGTATCGTCCACACTCCTTGCTTCACTCTGGGGAAAACTGGAGGAAGGCTGCTTGTAGAGGGTTCCGTTTGGTGTGGTTTATTCGCCGCTCCTTCGGTGTCCTAACGGCCAATATCCTTGTGAAGCTGTTCTCAACTTTCGTGCGACCTCACTTAGAGTACTGTATCCAGGCTTGTCCACCTTGTCTTGTAAGGGACAAAATGGAATTGGAGAGGGTTTTGCGAGTGTGTACAAGCTTAGTGCAAGGATTACGGGGGCAAACGTATCCCGAAAGCTTGCTTAGCTTGGGTATGTACTCAATGCACTACCGCAGAATTAGAGGAGACTTGATTCTCACTTACCGTACTTAACGGGGAAGATCGGTCCACACTTGTCCTGGCTATTTAGTCCCGCCAAGCTGCCTGGTCTCCGAGGTCACCCGTTGAAGCTGCACAAACAGCGTTCTGACCGGGTAAGGACGGAAACTCGCTTGTCGTGTCGAGTTTTTGTACGCTGGAACTCGCTTCCCGCGCACGTGGTTAGGGAGTCTACGGTAGAGGGTTTCTAGCGTCAGTTAGATGCTCTTGGGTGGCAGTACCAAACCTTCCCCTTCTCCTAACCGACTTGTATCTTCAAATTTCACTTCGTTCTTTTTTAATTTTCTTCTCATCTTGGTATTATCATTATTTAGCTGACATTCCTCCTCTTCTTTTCTTAACTTACCCTTCACTCTTTTACTTCACATAAACCGGCCCGGCATGGACTGCTGGGCAGGAAAATGTGGGCAGTAAGTGGTTGGACAGGGTGTGATGTGGTCTTCGTTTTAGGCTTTTCAACATCTCAAGCAGACCTGTCAATTCTCGATCCAACGATACGCAAAAGAAGGAACATTCACGGGATTATCCTATCAGTCGCACTTTTCTAAGAAAGGCTAA